CAACCACTGTTTGGGGCTTTCTTTTATTTATTCATTTTTTCAATCAACAAATAATTATGGAATGTCTACTACTTGTCATGCCCTGGGGACATGACGGGGAACATGACAAAGTGCTCATCTTCAAGGAAATTATTTTCTAGAAGGGCAATGGAGGTGGTAGGTGTGATGGGAGGCGCAGAAAATAAACAAATAAGTCTAAAATAGCAGGAAGGCTATGGAGAAAACTAAGCAAGAGGAATTCTCTCTCTGTACCTCCCAACAGTGCCTGTGATTTCATCAATATTAATCATTATAATACTATGTTTACTTAAGTGCTGTGCATGTGACAGGTGATATCTACATCTTTCTACAGGGTGAGTGATATTAACAAATATGGAAATGGAGGCTCAGGGAGGTTAAGTGACTTGCTCTGGCAGGGTCAATGTTGGATTAGCCCCAAGCACTTGCCTCAGCATTGGCTGTCTTATCCCTCAAAGTATCATAGAGCACAATGAGGCAAAATGAAACACAGCAGTAATAATAATAACAAAAACAACAATGGCTGGCATTAACTGAACACTTACTACATTCCAGGCACGGTGCTCAGCACCTTCCCCCCATTCTATGATTCAGCCCACTCAGTATCCCATGACATATAGATGCTGTTATTATTCCCATTTCACCGGGGAAGCAAGAGAGGCTTAAAGAGGTTAACAGACCTCCTGACAGTAGTTACACAGCTAGCTTGATGCCCAGGGCAGTTTCCTCAGTGGTAGTGTTGAGGGAGGAAGGTGGGACTATGCAGTGCCAGCCTAATGTTTGCGAGCAAGGCCAGTTTCCAAAGGCTAAGTCTGCAGCTCAGCTCCGCAGTCCACCAGTTGGTGGCCTGGGCAAACCAGACCTGTCTCTCGCCCTCAGTTTCTTCAGCTGTGAATGAAGATAAATGAAGACTTCTACGCCTTACCTCACAGCTCTCTTATGAGGAACTGTTAACTACTGCCATCAATAGAAATTGTAATAAATCTAATATTTGGGGCCACTTTCCCATGCCAGGCTCTGTGCTAAATGCTTTACCTTTGTTAATTTTTTTTCTAGCCCTAAATAAAGTGGGTGATTGACATCTCTATTTTATAGTGAAGGAACTGGAATAGAGAGGTGAGTGACTCAGCCAAAGTCACATAGCTAGAAAGTGGTGGAACAGGGATTCCTCACTACTGTCCTGTTCTCTTTATACTCTCCATATGATTATTCCGTTCTCTGATGTACACGAAGGTCTAACCTCACTGTTGTCTGTCTGCTCTAGATTTTTTGTGCATTTGATACTCTGTAGCAGTTTGAGCTGGTGCCCAAGGGCTTTTACCTTTGCTCCTTCAGGGGTTTAAGGGAATCACTGTTTGGCATCAGTCTTCCCACTTGGCTTGGGAGACCTTGGAACATTCAGGGGGCGGAATTTTAAGCCTTAAATCTGTGCAGAAACAGAAATAAGGCTCTAGTTTCCAGGAGATCCTGGTTACCAACCTCTCACTCTCCCACCTCCTGTTCTGACCAAGTCAGTCCTACTTCTTGTCCAGTTTTGTTAGCGCGTAGTGATTTTCCCAATCTACCCTCTCCCTGGAAGCCTATCCATCAAGTACTCTTTTCAAATGTCCTGCCTCAGTGGAACTTGAAGCCTAGTCTCTTGCCTTTGTGATCTTAATTCCAAATCTTTCTCCTTTGCAGAGCCCAGCAACATGAAATGGCCACATTCTGTTTCTATGTGCCCTGCAGGTGGTCAGTTCTGTCTTCAACACATGGCCCCAATGGATTTCCTTGCCTTCCTCTTAGCCCAGGCCAGCATTGGTAGATCTTATGCATCATATCTTAATTTCACATAACAAAAGCTTTGTCAAGTATCCAGCCTGCCAAATTGCTGGACCAGAAGTCAAGCCTATGTGCATGTCCACTCTGTAGCTATCCCCTGTCTATGAGGCTCTGCACCAGGCCCTATGTCAGGCCCGTGATACACACATATTTCTAATACCACTATGATAATGTCTGCAGAGTCAGGAACACAGTAGGTATATAGCGAAGCTGGAATTGGAGCCCCTGTGTTAACGGGTGCCATAGTTGGGCTGGCATGGAATGTCAGAGCAAAGTGGCCCTGGTACAGTGAAGCCATCCAGTCTAGCAGGTGGACAGGCTTATGTGTCTGCAGGGGTGAGGGAGTGATGATTAGGGTGGAGAGGAAGGGGCTACAGGTTGTTTGTGTCTTAGCAGCCCAGGTGAGGGAGGCCATGAGGTAGATGATGAGTGGGTAGGAAAAGGGTGTGTCTGAGTGTGGAGGTCAGAGTGACCTGGGGCTCGAAGTAACTTGGAGGTTGCCTCATCCACTATCTTCCTCACTGCGTAAGCCATCTCCACCCCAACATCCTGAAACATTTCTCCTTACCCCATCATGCCTGGTCAGCTCCACTTCATCAACCTGCTCTGGGTTCAGAGAACTTTCCCTCCAGGATGCATTCCCTGAACCCTATTCCATGCTGGCTCTGAGCATGAACTTGCTTAATGCCTACTCAGGGCTCCCACTGCACACATGGCTTCCCACAGAGTACCTTGGTTCATCTTCACCCCATGCAGTAGACATTGTTCATGAACCCATTTTGCAGGTGTAGAGACTGAGGCCCAGAAAGGCTAAGAGTGTGGGCAGCAGCACTCTTACACCCTAGATACTCAAGACCCTTTAACCCCCCCCCCACACACACACACATACCAAAAGCCCCAGAACCATCTGGCAGGGCCATCTCCAATAGCTGAGAAGACCTGTGGGAAAGCAACTTCTCAGCAGCTTCCCAGACCCCTCACTGAACCTTCTTGTTGATGTACCTCTTTCCCATGACTATATGAGCAGTCTTTTCTCCCCTTCTCCAGTCTCTGCCTTTATATTGCTAATACCACTATGATAATGTCTGCAGAGTCAGGAACACAGTAGGTATATAGCGAAGCTGGAATTGGAGCCCCTGTGTTAACGGGTGCCATAGTTGGGCTGGCATGGAATGTCAGAGCAAAGTGGCCCTGGTACAGTGAAGCCATCCAGTCTAGCAGGTGGACAGGCTTATGTGTCTGCAGGGGTGAGGGAGTGATGATTAGGGTGGAGAGGAAGGGGCTACAGGTTGTTTGTGTCTTAGCAGCCCAGGTGAGGGAGGCCATGAGGTAGATGATGAGTGGGTAGGAAAAGGGTGTGTCTGAGTGTGGAGGTCAGAGTGACCTGGGGCTCGAAGTAACTTGGAGGTTGCCTCATCCACTATCTTCCTCACTGCGTAAGCCATCTCCACCCCAACATCCTGAAACATTTCTCCTTACCCCATCATGCCTGGTCAGCTCCACTTCATCAACCTGCTCTGGGTTCAGAGAACTTTCCCTCCAGGATGCATTCCCTGAACCCTATTCCATGCTGGCTCTGAGCATGAACTTGCTTAATGCCTACTCAGGGCTCCCACTGCACACATGGCTTCCCACAGAGTACCTTGGTTCATCTTCACCCCATGCAGTAGACATTGTTCATGAACCCATTTTGCAGGTGTAGAGACTGAGGCCCAGAAAGGCTAAGAGTGTGGGCAGCAGCACTCTTACACCCTAGATACTCAAGACCCTTTAACCACCCCCCCACACACACACACACATACCAAAAGCCCCAGAACCATCTGGCAGGGCCATCTCCAATAGCTGAGAAGACCTGTGGGAAAGCAACTTCTCAGCAGCTTCCCAGACCCCTCACTGAACCTTCTTGTTGATGTACCTCTTTCCACCATGACTATGAGCAGTCTTTTCTCCCCTTCTCCAGTCTCTGCCTTTTATGTTAGACAGAGCCCTGAGGATGCTGACATGAAGGGGGCCAGGTCCCAGCCTCCACTGGAGATGCTCACAGTCTAGTGAGGGGGCCACAAAGAAGAAGAGGGGATGGACCTACAAATGGCAGGTGACACACAGCAGTAATAATAGGGGCCAATTGAGAACAAGAGCTGTTGTGTCAAGCAGGTGCCAGAAGCCAGGCACAGAACTGAGAGTGATAATTTTTTTTTAACTTCTAGTTTTGATTTTTTGAACATTTATCAACAAAAACAATCAACCAAAATTTAAAAGTTAGGATGGATTAATTTACAATAAAATAATCAACCTAAAATATTAGCCCTTTCATTTAGAGCCAAGGAGGCCAATAGTTCCCATTTAAACAGAGAATTACAAAATTGGTATTTTAACTTATATTTGATGGCACAGAAATATAAAAGTCATACAACTTTCATTGAGACTTTCTTTTTCTTTCATAGTAGAATTCATATAATTGCTCCTTAGGTCGGTAATCAGACTTTAAAAAAGTAAGTCACTAGTTCTTTTTTGAAATATATCTACAACTCCTCTGATAACAAGAACACTTTTAAAACAATTATTACAGGACAAACTCTTATTGTTCTCTGTCACCAACATGAGAAAAGTACTACTGCAAAGTTCCTGTTGTATAGCTGAGACACTGAGATGCAGGGAGGGGTCATCATTGGCTAGAAGTCACAGAACAAGAGACTGATGTTCCTGGGATTTAAGCCCAGGCCTCTGGTTCCAGAGTTTTTGCACACTGTAGGTGTTCAAGAAATGCTGCCTTATTGTTTGTTGCCAGATGTTGTGAGCATTGTACAAGTGTACAGTTTACACTGCTCTGTTGAGTGTTGGTGGGAGTGAGTGCAATCAACAGAGGGATCCCCTCCTCTGGCCTGCCAGAGCCTGGGCAACCAGCCCACATGTCTTTCTCCTCTCCTACCCAAATTCTTAAGGGCATTTAGTGATTGGAGATTGAATGAGTGTGTGCCTGACAGGGATGCTCAGGCACTGTCATCACCCTAAGACATAGCTTTCTTGGACGTAAAGAAAGGGTGCTCAGTCAATCTTCATGGAGCTGTTACCATGAGCTCAGCTTCCCTTCTTATCCAGGCCTGGCATTCTCCCAGGATGCCCTGGACCTGACCCCAGTCTTTCCACTCTTCTCCTTGCAGGGAGCCGAGAGGCTGCCTTCACGTATGCCATCATTGCTGCCGGTGTGGCCCATGCCATCACAGCTGCCTGTACCCAGGGCAACCTGAGTGACTGTGGCTGCGACAAGGAGAAGCAAGGCCAGTACCACCGGGACGAGGGCTGGAAGTGGGGTGGCTGCTCTGCCGACATTCGCTACGGCATCGGCTTCGCCAAGGTCTTTGTGGATGCCCGGGAGATCAAGCAGAATGCCCGGACTCTCATGAACTTACACAATAACGAGGCAGGCCGAAAGGTAGGCAGCCAGGAAAGGGAGCCGGGAGGCTCTTGCAGAAATGCTTCAAAAGAACTTATTCATAATGGCTGGTGTTGGGTCTCTGGTGATGAGCCACAGGGCTCTGCCCTTAGTCTCATTCCACTTGACTCTGTTGTCCATTTGCTGCTGGTCGGGCTCTGTGTATGGCAGGGAGCTTATCTGTTACTAGAGAGATCAAATAACTGAATCTCTGTTAAAACATATTGGGTATAACTCAGCAAAGTGGAAAGAGGGATGCATGTGAACTCTTATCTTTGGGTCTACAAAATCAGCTATGCTAAACTCTGATTGAAGGGAAGAGTCGAGGTGAGTTCAGTAGGAGTCATCCCTATGAACCAGGGTCTCTAACATGTCATTGGTCACCTCAACCAAAATCTAGAGCTAGTAATAAAGGAGGTGACCATTTTCTCTTTATTGCCCCCTTAGGTCTTCCTGGATTCTGGACTCAGCTTAGAAGAGAGTAGGGATGTTCCAGGATATTTCAGTGGAGATGGCTGGGATATAAAGGGGGCCAGACAACCAATCTCATGAGAAGCTGGTTGTCCCAATGTAAGAGAGCAAGCCCGAAGTACAGAGTTAGGGCACATGGGGTGGGATCGGGTTATCACAGAGAGGCAGCTCCTGCCAGGGTGAGGATAAGTCATAGCCATGAGATTCAGAGTGAGTTAACAATAAAAGAGTGAGTTCTTTATTCCAGGGAGTATTTGGGCAGAAACAGCTGGACCAGACATCTCAGGGTACCCAAGTCAGTGCCGCCTGGCTCAGGCAGTGCCTTGGGTTGTGGCCTGAGGTTGCAAGTGGCTTCTTAAATACCTGTGAAGGCCGAGGGGCTCAGAACCCACCCTGGAGCCTTCAGGTCCAGGAAGCGCTGAAAGAGGAAAAATTCTCATGTCAGGTTGAAGCTCTGTGGAGAGTTGTCTGTGAGCCAGGGCAGATGGGAAGGGAGGGCTCAATGCTTTCTGGGTGGAGGACAGACCACTGCAGTTACAAGACTTGTGCTAACACCACCAGGGGCCACAAATGTAGGTTCCCAGGGGAGGCTGGGCAGGAACAAGAGTGACAAGGACCTAGGAAACTATGCACAGGGCTATGGTGAACTGAGGAAGCAGACGCCATCCATAGGGCTCTCAGCTCAGCTCCAGCTTATTGTGGCTGTGCAGAAATGCCAGCCCCAAGTGGCCAGACCCTCTGATTTTAGACTCAGATTTTTATGTACAATCACTTCATTTTTAAGTGTTGGCATTTAAAACTGATAGTCACCAGTAACTCTTAAAAAATATATAAAAAATTAAAAAGAAAAAGGATTACCAGAGGTTCAAACACATAAATCTACTAAGTGTGGGCTGCGAGCTGCCACATTTTGGTGACGGATATATTAAGTGGTACAGATCTTGTTCTGTTATAGCACGTCCATGGGCCAGGCAGTCTTCTAGCTCCGGATATGTCAGCTCACTTAATTTGCAAGGCATCCCTAAGAACAATAGCATCTTCATCCCCATTTTATAGGTGAAGGGATTGAGATACAGAGTGGTTAAATAATGTGCCGAGGGTCCCACAGCTAATTAGCAATGCCAGAATTCGAACCCAAAACATCTGGCTCTCAAGTTGGCCTTCTTTGCACATCATATGCTGCTGTAGCATGGTGGTCAGAGATCTACCTGTGGGCTTTGTTACATTCCTTCCCAAGAAGAAAGCAGAGCTGGCCAGAATGTCCTCAGGGCTCAGGTGAGGAGAGAAGGAGACAAAGCAGGAGAGCACTTACCACAGGGCCTTGCATCTAGTCCTCTGCATGGGATGGGTGTGATTACAAGTTGTGCAAACATGTGTCACACAGGAGGGAGTCTGTCTGGTAAGTGGTGTTGGGTAGCCTGCACACCTTGGAGGGGAGCGAGGCCCCCCACATGCATATGAATGGGAGAGGCAAGCTGGCCTTTCCTCCAGCCCTCACATACTACTCTTCCCTCCCTCCACTCCAGCCTCTGGCCACATCCTGTGTGTCAGAGCCTCCCAGTCAGCCCAGGTTGCTGTGAGTCACGATGGCAGAGCTGCTCACCTGGCCTGCCCCAGGAAGATGTACTGGGATAAATTGTTAGGCTCTGCCTGGCCCTACCTATTCAGTCTTGTGGCTGAGACCTACTGCCCAAGGCCAGCACATCCTTCTAGGCTTCTCAGCTATTTATTCCTCCCTGTCTCTGTGGTCAGATCACTCTTTAGGGCCAGGTCACAGGCTGCCTCCTACTCTGGAAGCTCTCACTCCCTGGGGGCAGACAGAAAGAAAACAACTGGCTTTCCTCTTCCACCTCAGTTTCCTCATCTGTGGCTACCCAGTTGGGCCACTGTGAGAACTAAAGAAGAGAATTCCTAGCTTGAAGTAAGAAGAGTTCAGTATATATCAAGTGAGAGAGAGTTTTATAAGCCACACAGCCCCAGCAGGCATGAGGGCAGTTGTTGCTGTTCAAGGCAGCTCTTGGGTAATGCAGATGCTAGAAGCTATCAGATGTCATAAGACCAAACTCAGGGAGCTTCCTGGAGGAGGTGGACCCTTGTAAGATGAGTGAGGAAAATAGGTCAAGGCAACTCAGTTCTAGTGTGGAGAGATAGTGGCCAAAGGCCCAGAAGTAGTGGTCCAGACTGGCTGGTCTGTGAATCCCTTATTGGGTAACAGCAGCCAAGGAGCTTGCAAGGTCACCTGCCAGGCCAGAGAGTGAGAGTCTTGCTTTCTCTCAAATCTTTCTGTGGTTGCTATTCAGGTTTCAGCTCAGATGTTCCCTCCTCAAACAAGCTTCTCTTTCAATTCCTTCATAGCCTTTACTTGGAAGTAGCTTTGTTCCTGAGCTTTCCCCCACTCCCCACCAGACCATAAGCTTGAGGGAGACAGAGACCCCAAAGATTTCATTTGTAGCTATGCTCCCAAGGTTGGCATACAGAGCTGAACTGAGTGAATGGTTGAGTACCTTATGGTCACCGGGGAGCCACTGATGGTTGTGGAACAGGGAAGAGGCAGAAGTCAGAGACACTGACACCAGGGAGGCAGCGTGAGGCTGTGGGTAGCATCAGAAAAGAGTTCTGGACTAAGTGTAGTCCGAGTTCTCCCAGCTTAGGGAAACCAGCTAAAGAGACACTCCACTGCCTCCCCAGCTCCACTCTAGTTTGTGAGGACTTTTGTGGATGGGTTCCTGGAACAGCATTTCAACCTGGCACTATGTATTTTCCAGAGCCAAGAAGTGGAATTTGGGACTCCCCAATGTGCATAAGGAAGAGTCTGACCAACCACCAGCCTGGCCCCTTTGTGGTGTAGGAGTGCAAATGGAGGCTCAGTGGTGGTCCCGTTTGGCCCTCAGGCACGTAGGGCAGTGGCTGCACTGCTCAACCAGAGCACCGCATGAAGGTGTTCTCCCAGCCTAGTCCTGGGGTAGCCAGACCCTCACTCTCTACCACAGGGCACCCCAAGGGCCCAGATGCTTATCCAAGTGGTTAGAAGCAAGGATAGCCACCGAGGTTGAGGTAAATAAGGCTTAGCGTATATTAGTTCTGAGTTCTATCTCTACTTGAGGCCTCGGTTTCCCCCATCTGTCAAAGGAGACTATGACACTCATTTGTTCTGGATCCTCAGGTGCTGGTCAGGGAGGATACATACTGGAGATGCCTCAGAATCCTGCTATGTACCATTATTCGAAGGCATGAGGCCCAGCCCCAGAATCTCCCCAACAGTAGGCTTCTGTGCCTCCCGCCCTCACACACACACACAGCAGAGGTGAGGAACCAACAGGAGAAATGGGGCCAGCCCGTAGCCTCTCCTGGCTGAGCGTCTTGGAAAGGATCACACATGTGTTTATCACTGGCTCCCTTGCTCCTGCTGTGAGGAGACAAGACTCAACCTGACCACAGGCTCCAGGGTTTGTTGGCAGCTCATGCGAGAAAAGGAGGAAGCAAGGGAAGTCAGGGAGGGGGTCTGTGTCCTGAGGGGCAGAGGTGGTTACAGGCCCAATGAGGGGGGACCCAGGGCAGCCCACTGATTCATCTGGCAGATGAGGGAGAATAAACGTTGTGGGAGCATCCTGCCCTCACGGGTCTCCAATTTGGGCCCAAGCCTGGGCAGAGCCAGGTGCTGGCCTGTGGATATGGGCCACAAGGCTGGGGTAGTAGGTGCATCGCTATAGTCTGGCCTGGCTTTCCCTGTCCTCATTGTCTCATGCAATTGTGTGATCCACAGGGTCGAATCAGAATGACCAGGCAAGATAGAAATTATAGTATTTCCCTATTGAAATTTTAGGACTATAATATTTTTGGATTAAAATCACAGACTGTTCAGGTTGGGATTGTAGAATATTAAGTTCACATTCTCACATGTAGGGTTTGAAATTATAGGATCTTTGGTTGTAAAGGAGACAGGCATGAGAAGCATTGGGTTGAAATCTTCGGATGGTAGAATCTGTCTTTGAACGATTTTTTTCTAGCCTTTTGGGCAGTGAGGAGATGAGCTAATCATGATTCTTGCTCTCAAGATACCAGTCTAGTGAGAGTCAGATAAGAGGAGCTAAAATTATGATTCGGGGTTCACACCTCAAAAGAAATGCCACACAGAAGGCTCAAAGGGAGTGCAGAAGCAGGAGTGATTTTCTCTCAGAGAAGTCTGGAGACCTCTTGGGGGAGAAGAAGGGACCATTAGTAAAGCTTTGAAGGATGAGAAGTCCTCCAGGTGGACAAGGCAGGTGGGAAGGAGGAAGGCAGTTCAGGCAGAAGTAACAGAATGTATTATAGCATGAAGTCTTTAAAAAGTATGGTTAGGCTTTGTGAGGGAGGGCAGGGTTCTATGTGTCTAGAGAGAGAGGGGTAATGGGTGAACAGGCTGCAGACGGGGCTGGGGCCAAACACAGGGTCTTGAATGCCGGGCAAGAAACAGTACTTTCCACTTACACGAAGGTTCTTGGAGATGCTTTGGTTGGGGAGTGCTGTGGGCAGGTTTCTGGCCCTCTGTG